TCCCTGGAATTATTATTATTATTGTTAGTTCTGTTGTTATTTCGTGAAGTGTTGGGACGAGAAGTGTTATTAATATTGTTATTGTTGTTGGAACGGAATGAAGAGGAATTATTATTGCGGGATCTAGAGTTGGAACGCGATCTTGAACGGGAATTGGAATTGTCACGTGATTGGCGAGAATCCTGAAGACCACGTCTAGGTCCAGCATTGAAACGAGAATAAAGCTTGTTGAGGCGATCGTCCACTTTCCGTGTGGGACGAGGATTACATACAGAGGGAGAACATCCAGGACGCCCACAAACATGGCATAAAGTTTGTGCTTCATTGGGAGGGTGCCATGTTAATCCTTTGCCGCGAAAAGCCACGGTCATTTCTTTGGCAGCTTCAAGAGATTCGAACGAGGAGAAATTCAAATACACATAGGGTTTAGGCTTGTATGAGCTGATAGATAAAGGAACGTTAAGGGCCTTAGCGTTAACTTGAGTAGCAATTTCTATCAGATCAGCTTCTTTAATATTCTTGGGAATGCCGGCAAGGATAGCTACATGTTCTCTGCGGCTATCGCGTTGGGATTTCGAATAAGACGCCGGGCAGACGCGTAAAGAATTACCAAGGCAAAAGATCGCCCAAATATCATGAAATTGGGTAATTGCGTCCACAGAGGAAAACTGGATATGTCCATTATAGTAATGTTTAAGAGGGGTAAGTTTGCACTTGATTACAGTGCCATATCGGGAAAAGGCCTGACGAACTTGAGTCTCGGTAAGGAAAAGCGGGATATCAGTAACAAACAAAGACTTCGCTTCGTCATTGAGTTTGGCATCTGCAGGGAAATAATGAATAAAGGCTAAATTGAGAAGATCTGCACGTGGTGAACTGACACAATCGGTATAATCGTGCTGATCATTAAAGAAGACAAGGATCTTTTTGTTATCGCCTGATCCATCGCAGCGTGCACGGGCACCATAAGAGGAATAGCAGGAGAGTGAGCAATCCACTTCATCACACATGGAGCGATTGGTGGTGAATTTAGTTGTGAACGCGTCAGGCGCGTCGAGTAAATATGCCGCAGAATAATAAAGAGATGGAGCGGATTTTATAGCGGCAGCATTACCATCGGGGGATGGTCGTCGTTCAGGGACATCGAAGGCAACAGTTTTGCCTTTACCATTGGTGTTAGTGGGAGCATGGATAGAAGCGTCAACAGTTTCAACAGGAGTAGTAGTATCTTGAGGAGAGGTAATCACTTGGACTTTGTTGACAGGAAGACCAGAAAGAACGGTAGAAGTAAGGGTGGGAGCAGGAGCAGAGGGCGAAGTTATATCAACATTCATAGCATCATCAGTGACAATACGTGAACGTTTGTTAGGCGCACCAGCGGTAGTCGTAGGAGACAAAGGTCGGTCTCCAGAAGGAGTAGAAATAATAGGACGCGGTGGCGGCGGAATATCCGGGTTAATAACAGAAGGAGCAGGAGGTGTAGTCATAGTATAAAGCTCAGTAAAGAGGAAAGCAACTGTGGAAATATTAGTATTTTGAACGAGCACT